GTCCACACCTCACCTCCAAGGATTCTCGTGACACAAAGCCCCCCGAGAACACAGGTTTGCGGCAGGGACAGTGGAGACCCTACCCTCAGGAAAATGTTTCCCTGTGGAGACCCGCTCTCAGCCACAGGGATGCAAAAATACAAGCACCGAGGCATCGAGGCATCGGTATTGTCTTACCTGAAAGTTGTCAGGAGTCCTTGTCATTGTCACCTCCGGTGGCCCCTCCGGCAATCGTGGAAATTGGCTCCACTATGCTTATTGCTCTTTGCCTCAGTTACAGCTGTAATACACATCTGCCTGCACAGAACCTATGAAGGGAAACGAGGGGGAGAGAGAGAGAGAGAGAAAGGGGGAGAGGGAGAGAGAGAGAAAGGGAGACAGAGGGTGTGTGTGTGTGTGTGTGTGTGTGTCTCAGAGAGAAAGAGAGAGAGGGAGGGAGAGAGGGAGCAAAGGGAGAGACTGCTGACTTGAGACTAAGAACCTAAAACCTCCGGCCAAGACAAGCCTGAATAAAAATGATGAAAGCTCTGTCCTTCATCAAGAGAGTAGACAGATCTCTTCCCCTCGCCCACTGAAAAGTGGAGCTGTCACTGGGGATTCTCACCGGGAGAGCTCAGACAGAGGCAGACCTTCTCCCGAGTGTCAGCGCTGCCCAGCAGTCCGTGCAGAATACAGGTACCTATTGTTCCAGAGACAGATATGTAGCCAGCCAGTCAGACTCTGACAGATCTCAGCAAACCAGTGAGCCTGCCTCCAGTTTAACTCCTTGCTTCCTAGTGCTTTTTGGTCCAACGCAAAGGTCTTCTCGTCCCCCAGGAGAAATAAAGGGAGACGATGGCAGATGAGCTCATGGTAGGAACTGATCTTGCGTCCTTCACAGAGAGGGAACTTTTGACGACTATGATTGAAATGCTAAGTTTGAGGCAAACATCTTATTTTTCTGGGAAGACATGCAGCATTAGGTTACACGGCGAAGACTTAGCGAGTAAAAGAAAACCTTGACATCCAAGATGAACAGCGCAGCCAATTTTAAAAGGAAGGCAGAGTTTACTCAAAGCATCCTGGATATAAATCTATACATACTCCAGAACATTAATGCTGTTACCCAAACCAAAGGGGGTCCCGGTTTTTTGCACAGAGGTGCGGCACATTGAATCCATCATTCCCCCCCCCCC